TGTTCATACATCACTACATTTAAATGTACATTTATTCATGTGGCAGCCACTTTTGTCCAAAGCAACATACTAATGAGGTACAATACAAGTCACAATAGATCAAGGAGAAGCCCTCAGGTGTCTGTTCAATGTCCCACCTGACACTGGGCAGAGATACACGTGTGTCTTGTAGTCTGAGATAATAATTGCAAGATCACCACTTTATGTAGATATAGAGATACAATTAAAAAACTGGGGTTCAAAATTATACAAACAAATATTGCAAGAAACGTAAAATAAAAACTTTAAAGAGGCTGTATACAACCATGTTTTTGCTCTGATGGTGTGTATCAGCCTAGAAGCTCTTTGTCAGAAGTACAGAGGCATTGGGGGATATCACCTCCACTGCATCACCAATCAACCTGGTTAGAGAAGGAAAGTCGTGCATTTCTCTTATCTTTGTATTCCTTAAAAGTCATGTGGGGAGGGGTTAAGACCTGATCCAGTCGCAGGACAAACAGTCCAAGCTGCTCAGACTTTCAGCTCCACCATCTGCTGTAAAACCTTGGATAAGATGGATAAAGAAAAAGTCTGATCCACCACCTTGCACTTCTAAAGGCCCCTCCATCTGTGTCTCCCCCCGCAGGCTCACCCTATTACTACAGCTCGGCCTCCCGCACCGCTCCACCGTCTGCAGCCGCCTACGACCACCTTTAGTCCCTGCTGCATGAAAACTTCACATCAGCTGACACATCTGATCACGGACCAAGGCACGGAAGTCAAAAACCTGGATGTGAACTTGAGACTCTGCTGATGAACCAGCAACACATTTGTTTATACATCCTACCGCACCCACTCATATGTTATTTATTTTGTCATTACTGATACCATCACCCAGGGTAACTCATGCACATTCACACCTTGCTCCTCCCAGAGGTCTGTTTCCAGAGGCCCCCGGCCTGACGTCTCACACCGAGGTGCATATCTTCAGTATCCGAAGCTCTTCAACGCTGTTTTTGGCCAAAGACTTTCTTTCTCGCACATCTGCAACTTGACCGCACTGACCCAGTGAATTACAGATATGCAACTCCTTTATACTGAACTATGCCTGCTTTTGTTTACAAAAATGCTTTTTTGTCCTGTCATGTCACAAATTAATTCCTTTTTCCTGAACCCTGTGTCTGCTTGCAAATTCATCCCGTGACTTGTTTTCACTGTAAATTCAGATTTCAAGAGCTTTTTCTGTAGTGAAAATAGACTAAAAAGGTGACACATTCAATCACAATTACAACAAAATGCCCACATATGCCCCTCGAAGACAATTAATGTATTTGTCTAGCAATATGTACATATTGTAAATGATGGATTACTTATGGGGAAGTGATGCAATTTTACTCAGAGAATGACTGATGAGGGAGGGGGATGACGGTGATTTGGCTACTAAAACCAACAAGGCTTGAAATACATTTGTTTTGCGTCAAATAAATTTAGTTTGTTGTCATGCTGATGTTCTGATGTTTGGTAAGAACTGTGACTATTTTTTCTTATACTGTTATTAATATTATTGCAGATGTAAATAATGAATTTCTAAAGAATTATTTTAATTAAAGCATGACAAATTTACCTTGTTTTTACTGTTGTCTTTTTAAAGGATGCTTCTGGTTTTATGTTGAACACATTATGTGTTTTCTGAATAATTCTTTGTAAAGCTCACAGAAGTAATATTTTGATATGTTAATGAGTATTTAAAGTATTATAGTTGTGTCACAATGAGGCACCTTTATTTTCAAGAATAACCATTTGATTTGAAATATCTACTTATATTATTATCATTATTATTATGATTATTTATAGTAATAGTTGAGTACTTACAGGCTAAAAGTCAGCTGCATATCCTGAAATGCTGCATACATATTTTTTTTTGTAACTCTCAGCATTTTAAAAGGACAAAAGCAATGATCCTGCAAACACGCGCATCTGTTTAATTTCTTTTTTTATTTTCTGCATCATGTAGTTTTATTTGCAATTATTTCGTCCCTCTTTGCGGCCTCGTAATTGCGGCGCGTTAACGATGCCACGGTTCGGCGGTGCCGCGGCCCACCTGGTGCCGCCGCGTGGGACGGCGCGAGGATGATGGAGGAGAGGGAGGCCGCGCGCGCGCACCATGGGAAACCGGGAAGTGGAGGCGCGCGCTCAGACACGTTGCACGCAGCGGTGATACCTGGCGCGAGGCAGTGCGTTATCCCGTACAAGTTTAGACTTTAATTTGTTTTAAAGTTAGAAAACAAACAAATTATATGAAAATCACGTTGACAAAAAGCCCAAAGCGGGTTATTATCTACACTCAAATCATATAAAACAGTATTCACACGGTAAAAGATATACATATACATTATACTGTTTACCAGTAAGTACGTGGTTTCTTAATATGAATATAATAGTAATATATATATATAGGCTATATGTAAGTCCATTGTGTGGCTGTTCTGGAGCTTTTAATCATAGCACACTTGAAATTGTATAAATGTGATGTATAAATAATAAATGTAGCCTATATAGATTAACAGTAAATTATATAAAATCTATTTATCATTTTGTAAATTTAAGTAAAAATATACCAATATTTAAAAAAAAAAATAATGTTTTACATTAGTAATTAAATATTTGTTTATTTAGTTTTATTTATTTACTTTTACGTTTGTTCTGGTTAACTTGGGCCTTCTTATTTACTCCCTGGGTTTACATTTTTGACTAGCTAAAAACATAGAGTATATTTGTTTTTGTTTTGTGTTCTTTTTCTTTAACTAAGCTATATCTACAAACTTCAGGATGTCTAGAGAGACACAAAGGTGCGCTTGAACTTGCTTCCATTTCAGAGCTGAGGTTTTATCATCTTTTGTGGAGGCAGTTGTTTAGTCTCATTAGACCACTGCAACCTCTGCTGTAATTTCCAGTTCACGAACTTCTGTGTGGTTCATGGCCTAATTCACCATTAAAGAAACCCTCAAACCTAATTACATAACCCTTGAATCAGACTGTATGAGGGCTTTTGTCTGACTTCTGAGACAATCACTTAAAGTCCTCAATATCAGTTCAGTCAGAGCGCTATCTGTCTGCTGATGAAGATCAGCCCTGACGTCTTTCTGTTTACAGTAAGCGTTTCTCTTTCTCTCTGACTCTCCGAGCCTTCACTCTCCTCACATTTCTCCATTTTCCTGACTCACCTCTTTACACCCCTCTCTTTTTATCCCTCTCCTCCTGCCGCACTACTGTACATGCCGCGTACCGCCCTGTAAACTTTAAACAATAGCTGCACTTCACCCCATTGTTGTCCAAGTGGCCTGGCCCACTCCAGACAGCCCATCAACTTACTGGACCCTCATTCTTTCCAGTCTCCTGCTCAGGCATGCAGAAACACACATCCATATACTATACTTGTACATACGGAGGAGCTTTCAAGTCAACTTCACAGGGACTAGGCAAACCTTTTCACTCAACCCAACTTCAAATTCCTCAGCCAGCTGATGGCCGGCCAGAGAAATAACAGCAGCAAACGTTAAACATTAACAGTCTCACTGCCAAAAACATTACGCTGCTACACACAAGCCACAGCAGAAATAACTCCTCTCTGTTTCTCTCTGGGCCTATTAGTGAGGAGGTTTCGGGCCACAGTGCTTCTGGTCTGGTAATGAGCCCGGCAGCACAATACAGGCACCGGGCCGGAACAGCTGAGGGCAGACAAAGCTGGCAGGACTGGGCGACTGGGACTTACTACATTTAACACAGAGCCATACTAACACTGTGTTCGTGTGTGTGGGTTGGAGAGACAGAGAAAGAATGTGTGTCTATGTGTGTGTTTATGTGATATAACAGTGTGTGTGTGTGTGTGTGTGTGTGGAGGAAAAGGCATGTGTCCCATTACCATTATGGGGACAAACTCAAAGACAGAATGGGGGGCCCCTGGAGAAATTGCTGCCAAAAAGGCAGCAGAGGAGTGTGTGGCAATCAGTGGGATGACGGGTCGGGGTTGTCCTGCGCCAGTCATCTGGAAAGTTCTCCACTTATCTCTGAGCCCGAGACACTGGCCAACCAATTCAGCCCAGCAAATAAGTATTATGTAGGCTGACAGAATTTGCCCGTCCAAATGAGCTGCAGAACACGCTGTTGTTTTAAACTGTGAATGGCAGCGCTGCTGTGTGGGCCCCGCCCGGCTCAGTTCTTTTTGTGGCCCTCGAGAAAACCCAGATTGTGCGAGTGAACCCATCACCTTGTTTATTAATTGTTTTTGGACAGTGATTATTCTGAACCCTTTTTTGTTTTTTTGACACTGAACATCGTCCCTTTCTCTGCAGACCTTTGACAGTGTGAGATTCTTAGTCTGCTGTGTCAACGCAATGTTTTTACCACTTTCTCATTCTTCTTTGGCTTCATATAGTTGTGCTTTAGTCAAACTGCGCCTGAGACCCCACAAATCTTTCTGATGTTGGAATTGTCAGAGCTGCATCCCATCATCTTTGTAACTTTTTGAACTGCTAATACAACAATCACATTGGCCAGGTGTGCAGACATGAAAAAGTGGGCATGATTTCTTCACAAAACTACCTCCATCCACATGAAAAGCCATGAACAAAGAATACAGCTGAGGTCATTAGTTCTGCAGGTATTTGGTCATAAAACAAGCAACAGCATCACCAAAGTTGTTACAATTCATCATCAAGGGGACGTTAATATCTCTACCAACTGTGATGGCAATCCAAAATCATCTCAATAGTACAACTCTCCAGCTTTCAACCAATATCTTGTCACCTTCATCAGCGGAAAATGTTGGAAATAAGGTGGCTAAACTTTTCTAACAACCTTAAAAAAAGTGTCAACCTCATGGTGGTGTTAGAGCTAAAGTCAGCAGTCATCCTCTGGGAACCACGAATGACCAAACCAAATATTCTTCCAGTAGAACCAGCAAATGTTGAAATATTTCCCTTGGTAGCGGAAACATTTGACCTGTTAGTGGTGCTAAATTAAATGTCATAGGATCAAGAAACTCATTAGGATTTATCTCCTGGGCACAATGAATGTCTGTACAGAATTTCATGGCAACCCATCAGACCGATGGATTGCCATCTAAATGTTGGTACAAAAGACATTTTGGGCAGAAAATGGCCTCTAGAACACCTGAGCGGACTTCAAATGACAACACCTTCCTCGAATTTCAAGAAGCTATCTAATCTCCTCCACCTTTAAACCATAATGCACCTGGAACAAATGTGCCAGTCAAACAGAGCAAAGTGGTCAAACAGAGGGTGTTCCTGTGTAGGAACAGACGGAGGGAGGAAACACAGGTGCTCTGTGTCCGACCAGCCTATTAAACAACACACAGAGCCTGAAGGCAGGAAGCCACTATTGACTGGAAGACATCAAGAAAAACGCACCTTTCAAAGCACACACACATTCAAACACTACACACACACACACACACCGAGGTGGATAAAATCTGCCAGGTATCAGGTACTGCCCCGAGGGAGAGGGTTGACCTGTGGAGGCCCAAGGAGTCAAACACACAGCTGACAAATAGGTCATTCAACATCGCATACACATCTCAATAATGCTGTTTTATCCTCGCGTCCTAGCGCCGTAGATTAACCATTATCAATCAGAGAAAGAACAAATGCAGATATTAACAGATTTGGACTGAATTATAGCTTAAACCACACGAGTTAAAAGACGAACTGAGATAAGATGGAGGAGATTAGTTCACAAACATTCTTGCTCCCTTCTATACGTCGCGTTGAGCCACGGAGCGCCGACCTTAAGATCATGTTTGTCCTGCATCTTAAAAGCCATCGAGTGTGTGCCCGAGGAGTGTTGTCGGAGGAAGGAGTGCGTGTGTGTGTGGAAGAGGAGAGGGCAAAAGGAGGTCATGCGTTGCAATGCCCTTGAGCACGGCACTTGCTTTAACTCTCTCAATGAGAGGCTTCTTTGCTTCAAAAAGCCAGCCTTTGTAAATGAATGAGTATGAAGGGCTCTGGTGAAATCTAAAGAGTGATTCATGTTTGGACTGGGTCTGATTGGCAAATAAAATGAAAATGTCTGGCCATGAGAAAAGCAACACTAATAAGTGCAGTCTGGGAGAAATAAAGGCAGGGAAGATGTTTTTCTTCAGTGCCTCCCATTTCTTTCAAATCAAGTTAGAGCAATAAAAGAATATCACTTCCTACTGAAATTTACACTCATACGGAAGCTGAATATATGACTGGGTTTTGTGCAGTCAGCACTGGAAAGTACAAGAGATTATGTCTGGTGCAAGTGGACGCTGGATAAGAGAGGGATGTCTCAGAGAAAGAGGCAAATGGAGTCTGAGTGGAAAAACAAAACACCTGAAAGGACCGCGGAGAGACTTCGAGGGTCCTGGATGGAAAAAGCCAAAATCACAACAGCAGCAGTCAAGAGCAAAGGATGGAGACAGAGCAGAGGAGGGGGGAGGACACCAAGAGAGAGACAAAAAAAAAGTCTTTTTTTCCAATAGCTGGAGTGGGAAAAATCAACTGTTAGTGTGGATGAGAGATAAAAAGTAACAAGTAGAGCGTGTGAGGCGTCAGCAGCAGATGGAGAAT